CCTACCTCATAAGGTAGAGGAGGAGGAGAGAAATCAGAAATCAATGTAAGTTGCCCTGAGCCTGCCTGGCGGGGAGGGCGGGATATAAATTGAACTAAATAAATAAATTACTGTCCCGAGCTCCTTGGATGAAGGCTGAGGCAAAAATGTGATAGACACATCCATCCCTTCCCCTCAGACTCCTGGAGATGATTAGTTAGGCTGGAGGGAGGACTGTTACTCTGATCTGAATGAATGCTGCACCCCAGACACTCAGCTTCAAAGGGATCAGAGTCTTTCAAAGCATGTAGAATCTGGGACTGAGGGGGGGAGGATTTGGAGCCAAAAGTACCCAGGCCAGAGATGTAAACCAGTTCCCCATCCCACAACCCCACACATTCAGTTTCTTGCCACACTCAGATATTAGGGACTCAGGCAGGCCAAACTAGGGTTACCAACTCTGAGTTGGGAAATTCCTGAGATTTTGGGGTAGAGAGTAGAGAGTAGAGTGTGGAGAGGGGGAGGAGTTCAGCGGGGATGGGATGCCATGCAGGGCCGGCCCCAGCTTATTTTGCACCCTAGGCGAGGATCCCTTCTGGCGCCCCCCCCCCCCCCCACCCCCAACGATTTTTCAAAAATAAATGCATTTTAGGAAGAATGAAAAACACAAATAATCAAGAAACTCCCAGAGTACGGGGCCGGGTGCAGTTTGGCGCCCCTAAGGGCCAGCTCGCTCTAGGCGATCGCCTAGTGAGTGAGCCAGCCCTGATGCCATGGAGTGCACCCTCCAAATCTGCCACTTTCTCCAGCGAAACTGACATCTGTAGTCTGAAGATCAGCCGCAATTCTGGGAGGACTGCAGGCCCCATCTGGAGGTTGGCAACCCATCTCATTTTCCTTTCTCTTTCTTTTCAATTGCCTTTAATGTCCCATGGTTCCTACAGGGCAGTGGGACTACCCAGTCATGCTGAGCGGTTGGGTGTTTTTTTTTTGTCTCTAATTTACAAATGAATATTTTTTTTCTGCACAGCTGGGGATTTTCCTGAGTATTCAGAAATCAGTACCGTGTCCCCAGGTGGCCTCATCTCTCTGCTCAGCTGATCCACACACCTGCCAGGTTCACAATTAGAAGGAGCGATGTACCTTCAAAGGCAGCTCAGGACACTGGCCTTTCTCTCTCCCCTTCCCGCCTCCAGCCTCTGGTCAACAAATTGGTCAGCACAGGCTGCCACACCAGGATCTCATAATCCTAGAGGATTTAGGGTAATTTACATGCTATTTTTGCATGCAGTTAACATGGGCTAAGCATATTCCCCCTTCGTGAGCTTGGCAGACACTAACTTACCAATTGTGCATAGGTCTCATGGTAAAATTGACCTATAGTCAAAATTAATATAGTGCCTATTTCTGTTCCCAAGCAGTTAATGAGAAAAACACTCAGACAGACCCGCTCGAGTCCAAGAATGAGCATTGTTTTGACTGAGTCTTCAATATGTATGCTTATCTCTGGGGATCCCCACCCCTTGCAGGATACCCCATCTGGCTTGCTCAATGGTCTGACCAATTGGGAGACCTACTGTTGTCCTTTTATACACACACCCTTTCTGTTAGTCCTTTGCCCTTCAGTTTCACAAGAGCAAAATCTAACACATTCACACCAATAACACGCAAAAGGCTGCCGGGCAATTTCAGTCTCACATAAAGGTCATGGTTTGTGGCACTGGCCGGAAGAGCTCTGCATCCAAAGCATGTCTTTGCTGACACTGTAAAGCATTTGAATTGGGCTGTGGGTGATTTGTAAGGGCAAATTATGCCTGCCTTTTAAACAAATCTATATTTTGGAGATAATTTGTTTGGCAAAGCAGTACAGGAAGGTCATCTTCTTTCCTACGCCTGCCCTATCTACAGGGTGACCTTGAAGAAATCTGCAAATATCCACGCCATCCAGGAATGACAGATGTATGAACTGACAGCTTGCCCTCTCTCACTGCATGCTTTCCCCATCACCCAAGGAGAAGTCAAAGACCTTGCATCAAATCATCATTTCCCATTTCTGGTGTTAAATAATTACGGTCTATGAAATTTCTGTCACGTTGCTGAATACAGAGAAGTGTTGCTCTGATAATCACATGAAGCCTACAAGTTTTGTAAGTGATAAAGTCTGGAAGGGGGGAAAGAAGCCAAGACTCTCAAGCTGCTTCCACACTCAAGGATGCTGCTCCCTGATGTTTTCATTGTTGTTGCAAATGCAGAGGCATCCACACTGGCAGGGGGGGTTCCCATGGGAGTTTTCTGCATAATTTCCTGCCATCGGCCCTTCACGGCTGCCATTTCCCATGCTACTGAAAGTCTTTTCAAGGGCTTAAAAAAAAAAGTACTGATTTTTTTTAAAAAAACTTCAGTAGCATGGTAAATAGAAGCCATATGGGGACTGCCGCAAAATGGAGTCAAAATGAGCAGGACCTCTGAGAATGGACACCTTCCCAGACAGAGTAATAAGGTGACTGGACATCATTGACAGAAAAGATCAGCAAGATTCATCCCTGAGTTCCATTCCTTGCTAGGCCCACTGGCACTTCTCTTATAGTCACACAGAAGCATAAAACCTTTTGAGGGAAATCTACCAACTCTCCATGAAGATTGGTTTATGGAAGCCCTGATATTCACTGCCATACAATCTGCATGGAAAAGACAGATCTGAGCACAGCTCAAAAACATTCTGCCTGCTTTATTGTCAAAGGGCACAGATGCCCTCCAGGGAAGCAGTGCTGCTTTGCTGCTTTAGCCCCAAGAGAATGTCTCTCAGTTGACATTAGTGGATAAAGCTCCTTGTACCATTATGCTCCTGGGCATTGTAGGCACAACACACCAACAGACCCCCCACACACCCCATTTCATTCTATGAAACTAATATTAATATTTACAACAGAACTCCAGTTTGACTGCCATGCACAGCCTGACAGGCTGTTTCATGAAACCTGTACTGAAAACAAAATGACTCAAAACAATTATTGTTTCTGCTCAGTTTCTCTCCTCCCCAGCTCCTTTCCATCAAAGCAAAATGAGGCAGCCAGAGTTCTTTAGGCCCAATTGTCAAAGTGCAGAGAAGTAATTTTTGATGGCTCCCAGAACAGCATGAAGAATGGCATGATTCACTATGAGGTAGGCTGAAAGTGAGTGCCTGGCCCAGTATTACCACATAAGCTTCATGATCAAGAGCCCAATTACCATTACCTGATCATGACTGGGTCCAATGCTCCCTCTAAGCTGTGGGGTCTTGTGAGCAAAAAATCTACTTTGTGAGCTACTGGCACTAGAGTTGTGAGCGAGTGATTTGGCTACTGCATAAATTAGTTTGCTCTGGAGCCACCCTTTCTGAGCTAAGACAAAAATGTGTGACCCAGAGGCAAAAAAAACTGTGAGCTAGCTCACACTAATTCGTCTTAGAGGGAACACTGATGGGTCTACCTTGATTACTTTCAATCAGATGTGAACTGTGCACTGCCTTCTGGGAAACTGATTTCCAGGAATACGCGGGTCCCAATTTGGATTGTCTTAGAGGGAACACTGATGGGTCTACCTTGATTACTTTCAATCAGATGTGAACTGTGCACTGCCTTCTGGGAAACTGATTTCCAGGAATACGCGGGTCCCAATTTGGATTGGGCCTACAGCACTGCACCGTTTTCCCAGTCTGAAGCAGCCCAGGATTTGCCACCCTGCAATCATCTCAGGTAGGGAAAACAACATGGGAGGAGGCAGGGCCGGCCCGAGGTTGTCCTGCGCTCTAGGCGAGCGCAGATGCCAAACTCCCGGTGGGGCCTGGAAGCCATCCTAGCAAAGTCGGTGGGCGCTCCCCACTGCAGCCGCCCCTTCGCCCCCTTGCTTGCTCCTCCGCCGGCCAGCTACAGCGCCGCGCCCTGCCCATGCTGCTGCCGCACGTCCTCCTCCTGCAGCCGGCAGAGCTGCTGGTGTCGCCACGGGCTGTGGCGCCTGGCTCAATGGAGGGTGCTCCTGTGGGCTGCGCAGCACCACTGCCTCCCTCGCTGGCCGGGCGTGCCGGCGGCTGCCCCTGCCTCCACCTCCGCCCCCTTGCTTGCTCCTCCACTGGCCAGCTACAGCGCCGCACCCTGCCGCCACCGCCACGCGTCCTCCTCCTGCAGCTGGCAGGGCTCCTCCCAGCCCCGGCGCTCCTCCCAGCTGCTGCTGGTGTCGCTGTAGGCCACAGCGCCTGGCTCAATGGAGGGCACTCCTGCGGGCTGCGCGGCACCACTGCCTCCCTCGCTGGCCAGGCGTGCCGGCGGCCATCCCTGCCTCTCATCCCGCGCCCTAACGGCCAGCTTGCGCTCTAGACGAAGGCCTAGTTCGCCTAGCGGGCGAGCCGGCCCTGGGAGGAGGGCTCAAGAACCCTTGTCCTGCAAACCCAATCCAAATCCCCTCTGTGCTTGAACTGAGTTCCCAACAGAGTATTTGCTGTTTACTTCTAACTGAAATTCCCTGTGGCAGATCCAGAAATGATCCAAGAACACTTTAACAATAGTTAGGACCTGAGCAGGGGTTTGCCCTGTCCTAGTCTGATAATCTAACTTCACACACTATTCTGGTTTTCTGCCCCTGTAACTTTTCACTGAACAACATGATTTCTATGTGCTACAGCATTTCTCAAGGTCTTCCTATGACATCCATCCAATGCCTGTATTGTTGGCTTTGTGTGTGTGTCTGTGTCTCACTGTCAGTGTAAAAAATCATTGTTGCAAGCTAAATGGATGAGATACAAAACCACAAGCTTTGCTACACTTCTTCCTGGATTGGCAAACACAAATAAGCAGATGAGACAACAGGAGACAAGATGATCTTGCCAGATAATGCTTGATGGAATAACCCCTGCTTGAGTGTCACTTTGAGTCACCTAATTGCTATGCACTGGAGCATGTTAGGGCAGGCAAAACTGTCCTTTATGGGTGATCTGTGGAGAAGGGAATGGAAGGGGGTGTTGTGAAACACAAAGGAACCTTTTGGAGACACATTGAACATCAAAAGACTGGGCTTAGCATGGCAAGCGCTACCTGAATCAAGCTACAAAATAAAGCCAGGTGTTCCTTACAGAATTATGACCTCAGCTCAAAGAGGAGAGGGACACGTAGTTCTGTTCTGCACACATAACCCAGAGGGTGATGAGAACATGCTAGGCTGAGTAGTGCAAATACAGACTGCTGCTACAAGAGGAATTACAGGCCACCTCAAACATAAATTGAAGGCACAATTCTATGTCAGAGGTGCAGTATTTGATAATGGGTGGCAGCAATCAGTGTGTCCAGCTTTTGCTGGGACAAAAAGCAAACATTAGCCCTTGGGGCTGTGAAAAATGACCTCAAAGTGTGCAGTGTCTGGAGAAATCAAGTGCCAAAAGTAGTTTAGAAGCAGAATTGCAAAAACAGAGCAGGAGAAATGTTCTTCTTGTATGTGAGTCCACATTCCTCCCCATGCCTACCAAAGTTATACAAATAAGCAAAGACGCACAGAAGTTAAATTTGCTGTACAGAGCAGGATTTTACAGTTCACACCACCTCTTTTTAAAGCACAGGCTGTGTGCATTCCAGTGCTGGAGGGGAAGGGGCTGCACAAACTTTAAAGCCCTGTTTTTTCTAAAGGTTCGTGAATAGATGGGTATTGTGGTAGGAGGAGGGTAGTCAACTTCCTCTTTTTAAAAGTTTGCAAAATGGGAAGGGATGACTGTTTTTGCTCATCTCCAGCACAATCGCTTGGAATGTCCAATAATCACTTGTCACACTTGTACAATTCCACACACCATTCATGACTATGCCTTTTAACCCTGGGGGCAGAGTTTGTTCTTTTTAATGTAATACTTTGACAGTGCCTGGATTTTAGGCTTCATCATAAATTTACTGCCACTGCTACCAGCACTACTGCTAGTTCTGCTAAGGGAGACCAGATCTCCCACTGAAAGACCTCCTGTCCTCCCTTCTCCATTGCCTGCCTCCACTCATCAGGGCAGCAAGGGGGGGGATTGCTAGAGAGTGATGTTACTTCCAAATCCTAGAGTGTCACATACATGCCATGTCACTTCTGGTTATTCAATGAAGTGACCCTGCACTGTCAGAAAGATGTCATTCCCCTGCATGCCCAATCCCTCTCTTTTCCACTGGTTTCCAGTAGCACCCTAGTACTACTGCTAGTACTATTACTATTAGTACTACACTAGCCATGGCAAAGGGATGGTGGAAAAACATATGACCAAGGAGAAAATACTGTGGTATCTGTTGGAAAAAATGACACACCTCTGAATCCTGGAGGAAAGACAGATATTTAAATCTTCTGTAACACAAAAATAGCAACATGGCCTCTATGGCAGGCAGAGGGTGTTGTTTAGAAAGGCCCTCAAGCTTGTTGCTCACATGAACTTAACTGACTAGCTTGAACTCCTGCCTTAACCACTTGGCTTGCTCCTTATCACCCGGCCAATGACCCAGCATGGCCTTCTTTCTGCAAGGACTCCGTAGAAATCTTAAAGGGCTCTTCCGCCACACTGGCCAGAGATTTCATTTCTGGGAATGCACATAATCATCCTTATGAGATAAATTGCAGACTATAAAAAGAACAAAGCATATCCCCCCACTCCGATCTCACTGGCAGACTGCAAAAAGACATTAAGCTGCCACAAATATCAATACGAAAAAAAATGCGACTGATTTTAATAAGATTTCTCTATGCAGCTCATTTGCTATGGGGGGAAAGTGACATTAACAATTGATAGTGTCAAAAAAACCCTCCCTCCCTTGTAAATCCTATGTTTCATTTGTTAAAAAGAATCTATTATCCTTTACCTTGAAGCAAGGCAGAATTACATCAATGCTAACCATCCAATAAGCTTCACATCCAGCACGTTACTTTGATGAAGCTGTTTCAGAAATCCTGACACTGAGCCAAAACACTTTTGGTAATTCCTACAATGGCTGCTTGATTCTGGGTGCTTGATGACGCACAGATTACATTGCTAAATACCCCTTGGTACAATAACGAAATGATCCTGCTACATAAAGTCCACATATTTCTGGCCATATATTTTCTTTCACATGCAAAGTAACTGCCTCTTTGATTTATCGCTTTCTTTATCAGATTTATAGCCTGCTCCCTTTCCCATGAACAGGACTCGTTCTGTATACTAGCAAGCTTCCTATGTATGATGGCTTAGCCCAGATTTGTGACCAAGATGAAGACAGCTCACTAGCCATGGCTGCCCAGTAGGGAACTGCAAAACAGGGGATGAAAGTACCACCTGACAAGTCACAATAAATGGCTGATGGGATGCATTTGGCTTGGAAGAACACAGTATGTCCAGGGTTGGCTTGGTCCCAACAAAAATCTCTTTCACAAGAGACAATGAAACCAGTTCCTGATTGAGTCAAATGACAGCACACCTTTTCACGGTATGCATGTTCAAACATTAACATTTTTGAAACCTTAGAAATACTACATCCATTCTTTTCTAGACACTGAGATTCATCTAAGGCAGGGATCCTCAACTTTTTGGGGCCCGTGGGCAACAGAAATTTTTAGAGGAGTTCATTTTTGAAACCTTAGAAATACTACATCCATTCTTTTCTAGACACTGAGATTCATCTAAGGCAGGGATCCTCAACTTTTTGGGGCCCGTGGGCAACAGGAATTTTTAGAGGAGGTGAGCACTAGGTGAGGAGGTGAGCACTACCTCAAAATGACTGCCATAGGGGGTGGAGCCAAACGGAATACTTCAATCCTAGGAAGACTGAAAGCCTAAAGGGGGAATGGAACTACATATTGACTAAGGAAAGCCCAGGTGCTTACCAGTCCTTCTGATCCTCCAGTAGAAAATCCTTTAATTCGAGTGACGGCAGCCAATCACAAGCCTTACAATGGCCCTGTCCACTTTCTGAAAAGCTTGGTGGGTCCCAAGGGAAGTTCTGGTGGACATCATCATGCCATGGGCGTCACACTGGGGGCTGCTCTAAGGTAACCGAGTTGCAAGATCCAATGTGACCGCTAGTTTGAGTGATGGTGGGGTTGGCATTCAGAACCATATTGATTCAGAGGGCAGGGAATGGTTTGCTAGGCTAGCCCAAACTTGGGCAAGGCTCGGACCAAAGCTATACTCATATTGGGGCACCAGAAAAAAAACCAAGATCCTAAAGAAGCATCTATCAGGCAGTGTGCATTCTACATCTCTACAAGACATTTTAATAGAATAAATTAAACCATTTTGTAAATGCCCTTTTTGCTACATGCAGGGAGGAGGAGAGTACCTTGCTTTTTCTGTGACTCCCATTTGCTGATGAACATCAATGAATTCCATCAGCTGCATTTGCAGGATGTTCTCCTTCCCCTCGACCTGCTTCACAAACTCGTGCTGCAACAGGTCACTCACTGTTGGGCGTTTCTCATAATCTTTGGTCAAGCACCTGCACTGGCAGATAACAACAACAACAACAAAACTTGGTGTAACCAAAGATGGGTGAAGACAGAGAATAAGCCTAAAGCCAGGTGGTGAATGGAACAAGCACAAGATCTGGAGTAATGGAGAACATTCTCCACTGTCCACTCCCCCTCCAGGGGTTCACATTGAACACATGAAGCTGCTTTATACCGAGTCAGACCCTTTACTGACTTGTGCACATATATAAATACACCAGATACTTAGAGATTGGGAGGAGGAATGTGGTACTGGATAAATATGCATTATCTACTGCCTCTCACTTTCCCCTCTTCTCCACTTCTAAAGAAGAGGCATGTCCCCCCCCCCCAACATTGGGGAATATACCTCATGGCCACGGGGACACCATTCTGTCCCTGCTAGGGTTGCCAGGTTGCCAGGGGGGCATTCTAGGAGTGGGTGGGGAAGTCACCCGGGAGTGATGTAGGCACACCAGTGACGATGCTTTGTTTTGGGGGCAAAACCCTACAGTAAAATCGCCCTCAAACCATAGAGCTTTTCCCAAAAACCAGAGCATCAATCCTCCAACATCACTGATGCACCTATGTCACTTCTGGGTGACATCAGTGTATCACACAAAATGCCGCTGTTTGGGGGGGGGATTTCCTCCCACTGGCCAGCTGGCTGCCAGTCAGCAGGAGCCTATGTGAAAGCAGAGGATTCCCTGTCCCCACTGGGGAATAGTGACCCTAATCCCTGCCCATGTTAAGTCCCCTGTTACATCTCTGATGACAGTGATGAGTATTATGCATGCAACGTGGATATAATAAATAATAGATCCAATAAAAACATTTAAGCAATTCTTTTATCCATAACAGTTACATACTAGAAATTCCTTTGCATTTTCTGGCTAGGACTCCCTTTGTTGGAAATATGGTACTGTCTTATCTGAACATCTGAATGCTTTAGAATAAACAAGATTACAGAGTTTTAACTGTGCTAATGTGCATTCATACATTGATTTGCTTGTAAATGGCTTTTTTGTCACTCACTTGCTGATAAAGTCATTGAATTCAGGTGACCACAGCTCCGGCTGCCGTAAGGTCGGAGGTGGGTTTCTGCATAATAATGGCACGACAATAGGTTAGTGTGTATATTGAACAACCACCACAACAACAAAAAGACTGAAAGAAGTCAGGTTAAGCAATGAGTCTTATCAACAACAAAAAGACTGAAAGAAGTCAGGTTTTTTAGATGAGTCACCAAAGCACAACTGAGTTCATCTCGGTTTCAAAGGAGCATTGTTTAGAAAAGTATAGCGTGCCAGTGATGTCTGGATGTTGAACGGCTTCCCGAAAGAAAGAGGATTTTAAAATCTCTAGCAAATCAGTCAAGTGCAGCTGTAATTTTCCAGTATGTCAACTAAATGATACGACTAATGAGCTATTCATCATTATCTATGCAATATGATGACAAGTTCCTCGCAAGCCCTGTATGGCATAGCCTTTACAATCCTTTGGATCTGCTAATATTGTCAGGACTAAATGCAATGATTTTATCTGTGTAACTCACATAACCCCGATTCAAGCTATCCAGAAAAGAGCTCTCTATAGCCGAACAATATGGAATTTATTCTGTACTCAGAGACATGAAAAATTTGCCATGAGATGAAAGCATATGACTGAACTCCCACTAGAATAGGACTGCTAGTCGCATCATTTCCAAATCATGCATTATCATACATCCCAAATCCTGGTCTTACTGAATCATTAAATATCAATTTTGTTATTGTTACTGAATGCACACAATGCTTTACAGAGTACAAGAAGCCAGGTCCCTGCCCCAAGAAATTTATAATCTAAAACATGAGACAGGGAAAAATCAAAAGGGTGGGCAGACTGGAGAAGACTATGTTCATGTGATGGACTGCAAAGGAAAGCAGGATTTTTTAAAATGCTGCTTGTGTCAGAGACTCAGGGAGTTCATGAGTTAATCTTCCCTGGAGAGAAGAGCTCATGTGATTGGCTGCTCTACTAGCTCTCTGATTGGCCAACATCAGCTGAGAGAGAAAATAAACAGCTGATGTGGAGGGAAAAGAGTCTTTCTCAATTTAGTCTTTCCTTTGCAGTCCATCACAGTTCACTTCATTCCTGGGCTTAGTTTCTTAAAAAAAAAAAGTTTTATTATTTTTCAACACATAATACCAACACCAACACACAAAAACAAACAAAACAAATAAAACATTGAGCAGGAGTACATTCCATTAATTGTGCTTAAGGTTTCCCTTTTTATACAGCAGTAATTGTTTTGTACCTATTCTATTACTTTATATATAGACATACTAACTGAAATTCCTATTCCTATTTGTACTTTCTAATGGTTATAACATGAGTCACTTAAGGTACCACTCAATCCATTTATAGAGTGTTGACCATGTTTTCTTCAAAATATCTTCTCTCTTGCCTTGTAATAGCAAAGTTAATTTGTCCATCTCAGCCGTTTCTAAAAGTTTATAAATTATTTATTCTTTTGATGGCATTTCTTCTTTTCTCCAATGTTTAGCGTACAGGATTCTAGCAGTGATTACCACATGTATGATCATATAAGCATCCAGTTTTTTATAACGTCTGGCATCATATTCAATAAATACAATTCTGGTACAAAAGGTATATTTGTTTCTAATATTTTTTGTAACATCTCATGTATCCAAACCCAATACTTTTTACTTTTATCGCATGTCCACCATATATGAAAAAAGATCCAACATTTTGTTTACGTTTCCAACAATCATTTGACATATTAGGATAAAATTTTGCTAGTCTGTCTGGCGTGATATATATGTTAAGGATAAACAAATCGTTTTTTATGAAAAGGCTGTAGAACTAGATAAAGTACTGTTGTACATTGACGAAAAGCTTCTTAAAAAACTGTAATGTTATTAGAAATGAAAACACAAGATGAGGTGGTTCAATGTTCAATGATTAGATGGGCACAAAATTTAGGACATAATATTGAATTAGATCAATAGTCCAAAGTATGGAAAACAAATATAAAATATACCAAAGCTATTTCACATAAAGGAAATGTATATAATTTTTTTTATTCCTGGGCTTAGTTTCAATAGGGAATGGGAACTAAAGGGTTGTCCAAAGGGCTTTACAGAACAGGTGGGTTTTGAGGAGTTAGACTGAAGGCAGAGAGAATGTAGGCACTATGCAGATATTCTTGGGAGGCAGTTCCAGGTACACGAGGCAGCATTATTTGAGTGAAAAGGAGGTCTTCAAACAGCATTACTAGAGGGTTAGGGAACATCATAAGCACAGATATACCAGGACATGAGAACAGAAAGAATAAAGAGTTTGTGCTAGATCCAGGAAAGAGCAGGAAACCAGTATAAGGAATTAAAGAATGGCATCATGTGGTCTGGGAAAGGAGAATTATTTTGTGATGATGGTGCTGGATAGAGCTGATGGTGCTGAGGTGGAACAATGGAAATCCAGACAAGGGAAGGTTACAGTAGTCAAGGTAAGAGCAGACCAGAGCTTGTATCCGAGTTCTCACCAAGGAAACAGAAAGGAAGGGTCATATTTTTGCAATATTATAAAGAGAAAAGTGGTATGACTTAGCAGCAAACTGAATTTGGGGAGCAAGAGAGAGAGAAAAGTCAAAGAAAAAGCCCAAGACTCATGCCTGTTCTACAGAATGATGGTGACATTGCCAATGGATATAGAGGGTACAATGGAGGAGAGATGAGACTCAGTACTGGACATGTTGAGTTTGTGCTGTCAATGATATATCCAAGTGGAATGGCAACTGGAGAGGCATGACTGGATGAAGACAATAGCTGCATATCATCAAGGTCAGGCCTGGTTAGTCCTTGGATGGAACACTACCAAGAAGTCCAGGGTTGCTACTCAGAGGCAGGCAAACCCTATAAGGCTACCAGAAGTTAGCTGCAACTTGAAACCTCTTTCCACCACTACCATCATCACCAACAGCATATAGGTGGTAGTTGAAAGTCATAGAGTTTGATGAAGTCAGCCAGGGTAGAAATAAAATAGCTGAGTACTAAGAACAGACCCTCACTGGCAGAGGAAAAGCAAGGAAATGGCTTCCCTTGTGGGAACCATGCATGAGAAATTATATGGCTAAGAAGAGAACAGCTGAGGACAGAGCCACAGAAACCTAGGGTGTGAAAAGAAGCAGAGATGTTGAATGCAAGGAATGAGCTGGGACTTTTGGATTTGGCACACGTGCAATCATCAGTGACTTTCGTGACTTCCGGTTCAGTGGGCCTTGGGTAACAGACTGGAGAAGGCAAAGAAAGGAAAGTCAAGATAGCAGGAGTAAGCAGCACATTCCAGGCATTTTGAGGCTAAGGGAGGAAGGACAAATTGGGTGGTGGTAGAGAGTCTGAAGAGCCTTGAAGGCCATCTAAGTCCAATTCTTGCTCAACACAAGAAGCCCAATGGGCAGTATTCCCAACAGTTGGCTGTCCAGCTTCTGCTTGCAAACCTCCAGCCCACCACCCTCCTGGGTCCATGTCAAGCTGTCCTTATGGCTAGGAAGTTTCTCCTCATGTGAAAGTGAATTCATACTGCTTGAGATGGAGGATGTATTGAAGAATGGCTTTTTGAGAAGCACTGGCACATTTGAATGGAATAGGGAAGGAGATGGAAGCGCAGGATTATATTGTTGCCAGTTTATACAAGGTAGATGTCAGAGCACTGCAACAATCCTTTAACCAACAGTTATATTTCATTTCCTTATCATTTGTACAGTACATGGCAGAATAGTATTTTTGTCTCTCCACAGCCACATGGTACAAGCTAGGCTGCAGGACAGCAATTTGTCTCTGGCCACCCAGGGAGTTTCATAACTGAGTGGCAATTTGACCCTGTTGCCCCCAAATCTAAACTCCACCTGCTTGTCACTGCACCACACTGGCTGTCTTTCTTTCTGTTGATGTAAGTAATGTTTCTGCTTCACCATAGCTAAATCTGAACAAGAGGTTTTGAACAGACCATTACCCTTCAAAGTAGACTCCATTTCCCCCATACAACATCGCTACAAATGGAAAGAAGCAAAACCTGTGAAAATGAAAATGCTTCTGTTCCATACACAAATTACACCGGATCCACCCTCGCAACTGCCATTCTTGGAGTGCTGCGTTACTTGCATTTCAACAGCCCATGCTTCCACTTAAAAAAGGACAAAAACCGCTATTATTTAATGTCATATTACCCTTTTAGCACCTGAAAATAAAAGTATGTATTGATTTACTTAATATATTTCCATGTGGCTTTCCCTAAAAGCTCCAAGTGGCTTCCAACTGCAAAAATTCCATATAGAGCAAATAATTAAAACATTACCCTATGCCAAAGGAGCCAGTACAAAACCAACATTCAGTCAAACCTTGTTCTATAATTATCTGACTTGCATTTCTCCCTAAATTACAGAATGGAAGGGAAAGCACGGTCTCCTGTCTTGGTCCCCTCGGTTTCAAGAGAACCCTGCAACAGTCTGGGCTTGGGCTTTTCCAGTGGCTGCCCCATGTCTGTAGAACACCCTTTCAGGAGAGGTGGGGGCACAGCCTTCTTGGTTTTACAGCAAGGCTGCGAAAGAGAATTATTCTGCAAAGCTAACGGTGCGCTCTGAACCTGGGTCTAAGGGAATATTTTCCCCACTGTGTCCAGAGTTCTGAGTCAGTCAGGAGAAAGACAACCATATAAATATTGGTCATTAATAAATAAAGTAGTACTCACAAAAGCTGGGAGCCCACTACTGTTGTATACCACAGAAACAACTTTTAGTCCATTTCCCAGATTCTAAACCTGATTTTCAGCATGTGAAGAAATGCATTTTTTCTTCGGAGGTTTGAAATGAGCAAAACCTTCACTCTGAGTTTTAAAAGTCCCGTCCCCCCCCGGGCAGAGAACAGGCAGGAAAGGAAGTTAGGTCGCTTCAATTGCTTTCCAGACTTAGCTCAGCCCACCTTCATACAAATGCTAATAGGGCTAGACAATGGGATGGTCATAGGGTTGCCAAATGGTTTTTGGCCGGGAGCAGGGGGCTCCCAGCCGGCGTCTTAGGCGTGCGCGCGTGCGTAGCGTGCACGCGTCACCTGGAAGTGATGTCGCACGCTGGGGGCGGGGCCACGCCATTTGAGGGGAAAACTCTTTGTCACTTCTGGGTGACGCGCACGCAGGGGTGGGGTTTCCCCGGGCCCCGATTCCATGGGAGCGGAAATCAGGGCTCAAAAGCGGGGGGAATTCCGCCCCCCCGGGGGCATTTGGCAGCCCTAGATGGTCAAGTCCCCCCGTCCAGCCCCCAAGCAGGAAACATAGATTTTGAGGAATTAAATATTAGAGAGACTTCAGGAAGGAAATTTCTGGAAACTTCAGGTAAAGCTTCTCTGATCTGACTGGGTCAGTGGGAGGGGAAAGGGAGAAAATAAAACTCCTGGGAGCAAGAAGGAAGGCCTCGTTGGTGCTGAGTCCATCAGAGCAGACAGAACTGAGGTCTGGAGGAGGAGGCCATTAGCCATGTGGTAGCCTGGTCAGCTGAAGGAAGCATCAAGGTAATGGAACTTCCTAAGATAAGAAGCTTGTCCTATATGAACATCTGATACGGTGTTCCTAAGATAAGAAGCTTGTCCTATATGTTAACATCTGATAGGGTATGTACAGAGTGAGGGACAGAGGAATTGTGTTTTACCCATTTCCTTTCAATCCGTTGTTCAGTTGGGTGCTGTGCTAAAAGTATGCTTGTAAACAGTTTCTTTTTTTAAATAAATACTTTCTAATTCTTTATGCTGGAAGTAGTTCTCTGTACCACACAGACCTCCACTGTCAAACACACTCTTTAAAAAGGAGCGCCAGGAGGAAGGCAGGTAGTTGGTAAGTGGCTATTCCTCCAAGGATGCACAAGGCAGTAAACTGTCCCTGTGGTGACCAGGTGCTGGGCAGCGGGAGACACATAGGCAAGGCCTCAGACCTTGGAAGGGAAGCTGGGAGACCTGACCCTCCCAGTGGGCAATTCCTTACAAAGGTCAGGTGGTGGTGGCAGGTTACCCAAGACAGAAAGAAAAACTTCTCCAGGTGTTGGCAGCATGGTAGGATAAGAACAAACAGAGAATTCAATTGGCCAGGTATTGTGAATTTGGCACAGAATTCTGGAACTATCACCAAGTACTAGGTGCATGTACTAGTGGCATCAGTATGTTCTACAGGACAGTGGAGAGGAAAGTGTTTCAGACATTACAGTTGTAGCATGATGGATCCATATCAAGAGGCATCCCTATGGCAACTGAACCATTTGCTCCTGTTGAACAAAGCAGGGAATGTGGCCTAAAATTAGGATTCTAATTTTAATTTAGCAGCCAGAACTAAGGCTCACCTTAGAACTACCTATTACCAACAAAAGTACCTTCATGCATTTAGAAAACATATGATACAGTTTACATCATAGAGTCCCACATCAGTGAACACTGTCATGGGCACAAGCTCTTGCTCTCACATAGGTTCCAGAGCATCCAAGACCTTGTTTCGTCTCTAAAGTTACAGTACAGATAGAAAACAACCTATGTCACTTTACTGGTTCAAAAAAATTACTTAATACATTGTAAAGACTTACAGAACTGTACAGTTTTCCAGTACTATCATGGCTACAGAAGAAATCACCTGCCCAACTAAAGACACAAGAAAAGTGCACGGAGACCATACCTTGGTATTTTGAAAAGGGCTCTCATAGGATGCAAATCAGCCAAGGGTGGGTCTCCATCCCCTAACTCTATAGCGGTGATACCTAGTGACCACGCATCACACCTGGCATCATAGGAACTATCCAGCTGCTGCTCACAGGCAATCACCTATTAACACAAAAAATACATAAAATAAAAAGTGTCTGATTGGAGAGCTGCCCAGATAATTCATATTGTATAAGTCTGACACATTTCTAAAGCTTCTCAGTGCAGCAGCCAGAAGAGTCATAAGTTCAGGCTTTTTATACCTACAAAGCATGAAGCAGAAATATTCTAAAAGGGCAACTAGTTAAATTGTATTTTGACCCTCCATGCTGTCTGTGAATAACTGCCATGCTGCAGAAAACAGCAGAGAGGCAGATATATAAAACCCTGTTCATGTACTGCAGTGCCAGCAACACCCAGAGAGGAAGAACTCATCTATGGTTCCATAGCTATTGCTATGGTAACAGAATATCTGCATAAGCATGAAAGATTTTATGAAGAAATTCAAATTGCTTCTTTCTACAGTGGAAGGTATTGCGATTCAGAACCCAATGAAGACCCTGATACTGGGCCCAACAGAACAACTCAGTATCAAGATCTTCATTGAAGGCTCCGGAGCCTTCAACCTAACAGTCAGATGTGAACTGCAAGTACTTCTGCATTCTCACACACAGGGCGCCCAATTCAGATCAGGGCAATGGGGTGCATGGATAAGGGGCTTCAGCTTCCCCCAAACCATTTTTTTCCAACCTGAAACACTCAGGGCAAATGCTATCTGGCCCACTGGGGAAACCCATATGTTTCTCTGGACACTTGGTTTTCTGCAATAGACCACATAGAGCTTCCCCCGTGGGGCTGTTTCAGGTGAGGAAAGGGGGGGGGGGCTGAAGTTCTTTCTCCACAAACACTGAGATCCCAATCCAAATCAGGTACCCTGGGAACAGGAAATGAGAAGAACCTGTAATTCATGCCAGATGGTTACACAGGCTAAGGCCCCCAGACATTACCTGTGTACTCTGGAATGTGCTCATTAACGTTCATTAGAAAGAGTAACCCATCCTCTACAAAACATTGGAGAAGGCTTTGAAGGACAGTAATCATCAGCAACGGGACACGTCTAATTGGAATTGATGGAGAGTTCACTAGACTACCTGCCTTCTCCTCAGTAACCTGGACTGAATGACCTGTGACTCGCCAAGCAGAACTCAGTCTACCAACCACACGTGATGGTTCATCTGGTTCAATAAACAACCTCTTTGCATTGCCAGCCTTGAAATGCAAAAATATGGGCAGGTCCCAAATACCTGGTAGGTGTTAGGGGTGTGCATTTGGGTCTACCCGGACTGGAAATATACCCGAAAAACACCTTATAGGTATTTTTCGAGTACATTCTGGCATCCCAATGTACATTCGTGAATTACTGGCAAACCTGGAAAAACAGCTGATGGGCTGGAGCAGATTATGCCCACCTCTCAGCTCTTTTTGGGCTTTCTTCTGCAGTCCAGGGGTGGTTTAAAGGGACTGTAGAAGACAGCCCACAAAACAGCCCGGGGGCACTGTCCCCACTGGCTCAGCTGGGACTCTTTTGGGCTGTTCGACCAAACTGCTGAAGAGAGCCCCAGCCGAGTGTGCGAGTTCTCTCTGCAGGATCAGCTGTTTTGTGGGCTCTGCTGGGCAGTGCTGTTTAAACCAGGCTGCCCACTAGAGCCCCAGCAGGGCCTGTGGGGAGAGCTCTCCCTGCAGAATCAGCTCCTTTGCAGGCTCTGTTGTGCAGTCCAGTTTAGACCGGTGTGCTCAACAGAGCCCCAGCAGAGCTTGTGGGGAGAGTTCTCCCCGCAGGATCAGCTGCTTTGTGAGCTCTTTTGGGCAGTCCTGTTTAAAGGGACTGCCCAAAAGAGCTCCAGCTGAGCCGCCTCTCAGCTGTTTTTTGTGGCCTTGTATTTTTTGGATCATGTCTACTGGACCTGAAAAAAATTGGGATTTCCAAAAAAATCCAGGATCCGAATACTTTACCTATACTGGGATCTGGGTTTCCCCCCCAGAAATCCCAAAACATTTTTTGGGGGTCCAATAGACCCAAGCCAAAAACTACCAAGAAAAACCTCCTGCACACCCCTGGTAGAAGTTCTGTGTTAGGCCTGATGGACCACATTGTGAATGCCTGCCTTAAACAGACACCCCTAAAGCAATATCTTATGCTCATATTACACTGCAATACAGCTCTATCTCCTGACAAGCCATGATTATGCCACAAGATGCACAAATATATATACATACATATTTTTACATTTAGAATGACAACACTTGAATAACAGAAAAAATACTGATCTTTTCTCATAAGACATGAAATGGCTCGAGATGCTAGGTTTTGATTCAGAGGGAATGTGGTGTGGCAGTACTGTCCCAGTATCCACCCACATAACTCAAATGCATATGGCATGAAAACTTTTCTAAACGCGAGCATTTAAATATGTCTCTGTCCCTCTGAGTTAACAGTCCCATGGCCATTAGCTGGCAATAAATGACAACAATTTGTACTCATCATCAGGGATCTCCTTCTGCCTTGGTATGCTTTGGCCTTGTATAGAATCCCTTGGGATTGTTACATGTGTGGTACGGGTTGGATACAGAGAACTCAACTTACTATATTTCACTTAGTTTTACTTAGTTTTTCCTTAGGGAACCTTACACAGGAAAAACGCATGCACAAAGTTACCTGAGCAAGTAAAATGCATACATTACTTGTTTTCTACCATGCATGTAATATCATGAATTTTTAAAAAAGAATTACTATCTCAGAGCATATTAAAATGGAAGCCTATCTGGAGAAATTTCAGTGTGAGTTATTTTTTGTGCTCTAATAAATACCCCCCCCCAATAATCCCTTAATCCCATAAAGCAACCTCAACAGCGATCCCATGGATAGAGTGATTCAGAGCATCACAGCAGAAAGTTCTGAAAACTTCTGAAAACAGAAGGAACTCAAGAAAGCAGAAGCTAGCAAGAGAAAGCACAAACAGACCAAGTTAAAACCAGGAATTAATAGAGTCTCATCTAACCTCAGGTGCCATCCAAAAGGGAGTTCCTACAGACGTATTCCGGCGAAGGCGAGTACTGGTCAGCTGAGCAGATACACCTAAAGAGAAACAGGCAACTGGACATCAATGTAACAGTTACACTTAGAGAATACCATGCAGAAGTTATCACTCTAATGATCTCACGATGGCACCCCAACATGGTATTTCCCCTTTAAAAGCTTTCTTAGCATTTTTGCGATTCTCTGAAAGCAAGCAAGCAAGCAACACTCCGCCATGGATGCTACTAAATATTCCTATGACATTCTGCATTTCCTTCCCTGCTGGTGGCTTTAGAGAAGCTTGAATTTAGTTCCAAATGAGAGTTTTTACAAGCAATCTTGACTGCACATTTTTTTGGGGGGGATGGGTGATTATAGTCTTTCTGCATCCTTTCTTAGCAGCAGGAAACCACAATGAGCATTTGAGAGAAGCAAACTACCCTTTTATTTAAGGCACCATGCACTTTTTGAAAACACACTGGTGGGATTCTTTTTAAAGTAACAGGGCCAATACTAGGATTCATGTATTATTCATCCATTCATTCTTTCATTCATTCATTCCATTCCAGCCTTACAAACAAAGCAGGAGTTTCAACAGCTTGCTTGTGTTCGAAGTACTATCAATAATAAAGGCAAGGGGGGAAAAAAAGAAAAACAAGGAAGATAAAACCACCATCAAGCATACAGCATCTATAAAGTCCCAGATTTGTTCTAGAATGAGAAATACGTACATCACAGATGAGGGAATGCAAACTGTTAAGAAAAGCACATCCAACATTTGATTTTCAGGGAATCCTTGCTACACTGGTTGGATCCAGCCATCCTCTTCATTCGGCATTACTCATAAGAACATAAGAGATGCCATATTGGATCAGGCCAGTGGCCCATCTAGTCCAACACTCTGTCACAGTGATCAAAACCCAGGTGCCATCAGGAGGTCCATCAATGGGGCTAGAACTCCAGAAGCCTTCCCACTGTTGCCCCCCAAGCATCACTGCCCCAGGCATAGCATTCCCTCTATACCTTGTGGCTAATAGCTACAGAAGGACTCGTACTCCATGTTTATCCAGTCCCCTCTTCAAGCTGTTTATGCTTGTAGCCACCACCATTTCCTGCCAACAGTGAATTCCATATATTAGTTACTCTTTGGGTGAAGAAGTACTTCCTTTTATCTGTTCTAAACCCACTGCTTATTAATTTCATTGAGTGCCCATGTGAGAATGTGGGGAAAGTACTTCTTTCTCTACCTTGGGCGATTTTGCACTAGAGCTGCCTCGCGGTTGCACTGCTGTTTGCCCCGACACTATTTGTCAATTTCACACCCGAGGCTGCAGGGCTGCATTTGACCCGATTTCCTCTGCAGTTTCGTGATCTTCAAAAACCAGGATCACGAAACTGCGGAGGAAATCGGTCGAAGCCACGAGTCAAAATGCAGCCCCGCAGCTTCAGGTGTGAAATTGACATATTTGTGTCGGGGCAAATGGAGGCACAACCGTGAGGCAGCTCTAGTGCGAAATCGCCCCTTGTCTATCCCATGCATAATTTTGTAAACCTCTATCATGTCACCCCTCAGTCGTCATTTCTCCAAGCTGAAGAGCTCTAACCTTTTTATAGGGAAGGTGTTCCATCCCCTTGATCATTTTAGTTGCCCTTTTCTTCACTTTTTCCAATGCTATAATATCTTTTTGAGATGCAGTAACCAGAACTGTGCACAATATTCCAAATGAGGCAACACCATAGATTTATACAGGGGCATTATGATATTGGCTGATTTGTTTTCAATCCCCATCCTAATCATTCCCAGCACAGCATTTGCCTTTTTTATTGCAGTCACACACTGAGTCAACATTTTCAGGGAGTTTCTCCTTCTCCCTACAGTCTACATCCCACATGGCTTTTGGACATGCACATTCATACGTACATACATGCATACACAGACCTTTATTGGCATATGTCAGGTTACAGGAAGAAACAGACACAGATAAAGAGGTAACAAGGAGAAATAAGTCAATCATCTGCAACTATGCATTGTGCAATTGATCCTTAATTACCAAACTTAGAAAGACATGCACATTCCACAGGTAGGTTTGCCAACCTCCAGGTGGTGGCTGGAGATCTCCTGGGATTACAACTGATCTCCAGGAGACAGAGATCAGTTCATTTGGGGAAATGGCCACTTTGGAAGGTGGACTCTATGGCACGATACCCCACTGAAAACCTGAAAACCTGCCCTACACAGGCTCCATCCCCAAAATCTCCAGGTTATTCCCAACCCAGAGTTGGCAGCCCTATTCACAGCCCCCAGCATAGCCTTTTTTGGTGGTCATTGTGCAATTGATCCTTAATTACCAAACTTAGAAAGACATGCACATTCCACAGGTAGGTTTGCCAACCTCCAGGTGGTGGCTGGAGATCTCCTGGGATTACAACTGATCTCCAGGAGACAGAGCTCAGTTCATTTGGGGAAATGGCCACTTTGGAAGGTGGACTCTATGGCACGATACCCCACTGAAAACCTGTCCTACCCAGGCTCCATCCCCAAAATCTCCAGGTTATTCCCAACCCAGAGCTGGCAGCCCTATTCACAGCCCCCAGGATAGCCTTTTTTGGTGAACAGTGGGGACCCCTCCTCCCTCTTTCATCAACAGAGAAATTGGTTGGATCCAACAGTGAGATGTTGCTGAGAATTCAGGGACACAACATAGCATGAGTTGACTGGCTTGATCAGAGAGCCTATATGTAAAACATTCACCTTGTGCTTGGCAGGTGGCAGGCTTTACCTCTCTCTCCCCCCTGTAAGGAAATGAGTGCTGGCCACATGGCAAAGGAGGGGAGGAAGAGGGAACGTGGCAGCTGCTCTCCATTTCATGCCACTGGACATGAGCAGGTCCAAAGCATCTACTTCCAGCTTCTTCCTCCTGTACTCTCCACCTCAGTCCCATGACCTGCCTGCAAGATAGGCACGGCCCCACTTTGGGATTCTGGCCACCAAATGAAGAACCACTACTTTCTGTACTTCTGCATAACTGTTTGATTGCTGTTTGTCATGCCCATGCAGTGGCACTCATTCCTGGTGAGCCTGAAGGACAAGAAGAGTCCATCTTTTTCCTCACCCAGGGCTGCCAACAAGGGGGACTGGGGGGACAAAATTTGGGGGGCCCAAGTCAGCTGGAGGGCCCTTGAAGCCAGCATTATGCTGAGTCCAACCAAACGTCTTTTCATTTATTTTTAATGCAGTTCTGGCTGCAGTCACTAGGGACACAGGGAAGTCTGAGCACAGTAAAAGGCACTCTGGTGTTGGCTAGACTTCCCTTTCTCGAAGACTGAAGTAAACTTGCGTAACGGATCATGCTAAACCACCAACTAATCCAGCAATGGAACAAGACAAGAAACTCCAGTTGATGGCTGCTATACTGTCGGCCTAAGGAGCTGCGGTGGCTCAAGTGGTTAAGACGCTGAACTGCAGGCTGGAAGGTTGGTAGTTCAGTAGTTGGAGACCCAAGTCCTATATGATAGAGTGAGCTCCCGTCTCTGATTTCAGCACCTGCCAACCTAGCAGTTCAAAAGCAAGAAATTGCAAGTAGATAAATAGGTACCACTTCAGTGGGAACAGCATTCCGTGCGCCTTGGTGTTTAGTCATGTCGGCCACATGACCACGGAAACGTCTCCGGACAGCGCTGACTCTTCAGCTTGGAAACAGAGATGAGCACCGCAACCCCAGAGTCGAATTCGACTGGCTTTCAAGCAAGGGAAACCTTTACCTTTACCTATACTGTTGGCCTACAACCTGCTAACCAAGGTAATTTCCTATCATAGTCTAGCTTTTATCTCTTCTTTTCCTTGCACCCAGCTCAGCCAGATCTTACAAAGCATGTTAGGGTGTTGCAACAAGGTAAAATAACCTTTCCTTCTCTTTTCCTTAATCTATCTCCCACTTTTCCACACTTTTCTCATTCATTTCTATCTCCCTCCACCTAATTTTTCTGCGCCCCCCCCCATACTTTGACTTCTTGGTCTCAAGATCTACTCATCCTTATCCTGCTTGGTGACAGAATGTACATAAGAGTAGTACAGTAGCAAACCTTTGTTAACATTATGAACAGAATGGGGAAGAATTAATATTTCCCCATGATCTAACAAAGTAGTAAAAAGATGCTTCCCCCCTCCTCCACCCTTTACATGCATGATAATGGAACATTAACCTGTTTTAGTGGTTATATATTTGGAACAGAACATATAACTTCCAGTTCAGGCATTGGGTTGTTAATAATTATTGTGCTGGTGGAAGATCTAATAACCCTTTGTAAAGGCTACTTTGCTATATGACAAATGATGTCATCTTTTTAATATCATTAAAATTAGATTTATAACAAACACCATACCCAGTCTTTCTCCTCTCATAGGGACCCAAAGCTGCATTGTTCTCCTGTCCTACATTTTATCCTCACAACAGCCTTGTGAGGTAGGTCTGGCTAAGAATGTGTCAGCCAGCAGCCTTCCATAGTGGGTTGGGGATCTGAGTATTAGAGACACATTAAAAAGGTAAAGGTAAAGGTTCCCTTGCTCGAAAGCCAGTCGAATCCGACTCTAGGGTTGCGGTGCTCATCTCCGTTTCAAAGCTGAAGAGCCAGCGCTGTCCAAAGACGTTTCCATGGTCATGTGGCCGGCATGACTAAACACCAAGGTGCACAGAACGCTGTTACCTTCCCACCGAAGTGGTACCTATTTATCTACTTGCAATTTCTTGCTTTCAAACTGCTAGGTTGGCACATTACAGGTTGCTTAAAAGCTCTCTTATTACAAGTTGTCTGTTGTGAAGATAACCTTGTTCAGGGTGTTCCCTTTGTTTTTGGTACTGTAACTTTCAGCATCATTCTGGGGTTGGTGGCCAGTTTTCAAACATGTAGCCTTATTTTCTGAGTTATGCCTGCCACAGAGAGCCTTAGCTTCAGCTGCAAACAGTATTGTTTGGTGGTGGTTTGACTCACTTGGGCCAGAATTTCCCCATGCCTTTCAATTTTGGCCATGGAACTCCCACAATCATCCTAAAGCTGGTGGC